ATTATTTCAACACACTAAGAGCACTTTTAATTTGATGAAGCTTTAGAAAACACTTTTATCGACTGATCGAAATGAGTTAGGTATTCAGGAAACTGATTAAGTAAAAGAATATGAATTTTTATGATATTAAATAAAAGTTATTTAAAATTAATAAATAGATTTAATATTTTTAAGATGCTTGTTTCAGTAGAGAGACAATAAATTATTTAAAAGTTAAATATATTAAAATTTTAAAACAAAGCTGAAATTTATAATGATAAACATGGTCATAATCTCTGAGATATATATATTAATAATTTGCATGTAGCATTTGGAATCTGTCATACTGCGGTGAAAGATCAGAACAGTTGTCTTAGATTCAAATTTGTAACGGTTAACATGTCAACATTATGTACTAACACAAATATGTTAGCATTATTATAATCTTTGTTTGGCTCATGTGATTCAACTCAAATATGCAACGTTAAGAATAAAATCATAGGGAAAATCTAGAAACTACGTAATCATTCAATATGATTCAATGGGCAGAATAAAAATTTGTGGGCAATTTGATAATCTAGTTCAATATGACATATTGGAGCATTTCTTAATGTGAAATATGTTTTACGAATGCAATTTTTTATTTATTCAACCTCAATACCCATTAAATTAAGGAAAAGGACAAATTTAACTTCTTAAACTGTACGGCTGGCACGAGTTAATAGTTTGCCAATAATTTATAAGCTGATGAAAACGTGGAAGATGCTTATATTAACTAGCTAGTGCTCTACAATTTACATTATTTAATTACCCAAAAAAACGAGTTATCAATTTCTGTATAATAATTCTTATCCTTTGCAATATTTTCTTTTAGTAAACAATTTTAAAAAAAAATCTTCAAGACAACATTTTATATTACATTAGATTTTTTATTTTTTAAATTTCTTGTATTAAATCAAGGCCATAAGTTTGGATTAACTTGTCAATACATGTTTATGAAAGAAAAAGAAAAAGAAAACAGAGGCGAGGCTTCCTTGACCACAAAAAAAAACTTTTTTATGACTATCTCATTATTTATTTTATGGCCCTTCTTTATTTTTTTAAAATTTAAGTAAAATATAATCATAAATATTTAAAAATACTATTTTTTTTGTTAAATTCTCAAAAGTTACAAAAAAGCAGATTCAGCTTCGTTTCTCAAAATAAATAAAACTTTATTTATAAATTAAAATTAATTAATATTTTTATAATTTATTTATTTAAAACATGAAGTATATAGGTTAATTTTAACTTTAAAAAATTAGTTATTTTATACCTTATTTTCTATTTCTACCAGTAAACTTATCCAAAGTGATCGAATGTAAAAGTTAACAGGAGAAAAAGATAGGGGTTAATAATATTTTTTGGGTGCTTAGATGTAAACATCAAATTGGGTTACGACAGAGTTTGATTTTGGAGGAAGATCTTAGATTTCTTCCGAACCATGTCAATTTCACGTTCTTTTTCTTTACAAGTGGAATATTCTTTGTTTGACCTGTTATTAATAGAAGTGGGAAAAGATTTATGCATTTTTCCATGAATGAAGGTGAAAAATGAATTGTGCAGGCCCTTGTCGTAGGAAGCCAATAAACACAACATTTGCTATGAACTGGACAATGGGTTCAGCCTTAATCTGCATTATATGCGTCACGGGAATCAAGCCTTCTGTCTTATTTTCTTGTTTCTGTGTATATCTTCGTCCTTCAAATTATGAAATAATACTTTTATTTTGATGAGACCAAAAACAAGTAATTTAAAGACGAAGAGGCAAGTTACCTTACCCTCTCGGTGGGGTATGATTTTTGTTGGAATAATGTGGCAGTATCAATTCTTATCTTATCTTTTTCTTCCAAACTCCACAGTTTTGATCTCGTTTTGTATTTTTTCATGAGTATCGTGTAGATATTCATAAATCATGCTCAGTAACAATCTAATCTATTTTTAAATCTCCTTGCTGAATGATCGTGTAGATTTCTCTCTCTCTCTCTTTATCGTTGTTTTAATTACTATGAAATCACATCAATCTATATAATACATACCTCACTTACATCAGTCAATCAATTCTCAGGTTAGGTTGAGCTGAACTAAATTAAAATTAATTCTCAAATTTAGAATCACAACCATTTTCAGGCGAGTGTTGCTACCTTTCAACTCCAAGGTTGAACATTCCCTAATGACAAAATAAATAAATAAATAAACAACCCTTGAATATCAAAACAGCTCCAACTAGAGGTGATCCTGTGAGATGCGTAGCTTGAGATTCCATCTTCATATGTATTAAATTAATTATATATATGATGAGCCCAATGTGCACTTTCAAACAGACATAGGGGGGGAAAGAAGGGAGTGAATGTTAAAAATTAAAAACTTGAATTTAATTAAAGGAATCTCTACCCTTCAAAAAATATTAGGTATCAAAGACAAGTGAAAAAATAATTAAAAATAATAGATATATAAAGAAAATCAAATATTAATCGGCTCCAATGAAAGTAGAGGTAGATTGTAACTCTGAGTAAAAATTATTAGCAATTTTAAAGATATGAATCAAAGAGACATAGACTATTAGTTATATTTAAAAGAAAACTAAACATTAATTAAATAAAGAGAGTAAGAGACTAGTGGTTCTTTTATTAATGAATAACTACTTGTTAAGAAAGTAATAATGATGATGATGATGATTTTTCTTTATATATTTAATAAAGTTTTGAAATTTGTTCCATGTAAAACAATTAGGGTGGCTTGTTTAACATTTGGATCCTTTACGTGTGAAACTCAAATTGCATGTGAAACAAGTTGGACAAGTCAGCGATCTTCCATAAGTATTTATAAGGGTAGGAAATGATTCATTGATATTTTTTTAGCTTAGAGATCAAAATATTAACATTTTTTTTTTGTATTTTTATCACATAAAATTCTTATGACATAAAAATTATATTTTAATTACTTATACTAGAAGTTTTATTAAAATAAAAAAATAAAATGATAAATATTTTCCTAACTTCCTTTGAATTTCTTCTAGATTAATTCTATTAACAATTGAAAGAAGTGCTAAACAAAATTAATTATATTTTTTATTAAATATTTTCATACATTTAAAATATTTAATGTTAAAATTTGTTTAACCCGCGCGCATATATATTAAAACGGTTATATAATAAAATACTAATTAATATTTAAAATTTAAAAATTAGTCTTTTTTTATTTTTTGTGTTTTTTAATTTAGATTATATACAATTTGGTTTTCTTAATTTTTTTAAATTTGGTTTTTTAAATATTTAATTTAGGCAAATTTAATCTATCTGTCAATTTTGTTAAACATAAAAATTTTGAATTTATGTTTTTTTTACTTACACTTGTTATAAATTGAATCAATTAAATTAATTTAAACATTTTTTTCAAAAAAATCCAACAGAAAAATTATCAAGTTTTTGCTAAAATATAAAAAATTCAAAAAAATTATCCTTCAAATATTAATTTGACAGTTATAAAATTCTCAACTCTAATAAATTTTGTATTTTTAATATTTAAAATTATTTTATACAATAAATTTATTGTAGAATCCTCAAATATTCAATAAATAATAAAAATTTAAATATTTTAAGTCAAACAAAATTTACTATTTTTAAAATAAAAATTAATTGACTAGGAAAAAAATAGAAAAGCGCATGGTCTAAATTAAAAGATAATACATTTAAATGTAAAATTTATAAATAATATATTTAATGGAAACTTTCAATCCTATAAATAATAAAACTTATTTTATAATTATTAAATGAGATAAATGTCACAATAGTTGTCCTAAAATAAGAAAATTTCATCCTATTAATTTGGAAAAGTTTCACATATATACTCTTATAATGTGAGTATATATAGATACTTACATCTTCTAACATGTTAAAATAAGCTATTATTGTTCATCGAGGAGTGAGAGATATTAATATGAAATAATATACATTTAAGTAAATAAAGCAACTAACGAAAAGTGACTGAGTTGGCTGATTGTAAAAATGTTAAAGGTTTAATCTTCACTAAACACACTTATAAAGAGAGATAAAATCTTAAGTGTACTTAAGTCGCGATTCTAAATAACTAAGACTAATAAAATACTTGAATACTAGATGATGTAAACCCTACATAAATAAATAAAACAATTTTGCATTATTTTAAAAGTGTAAATATATTTTTTAACAAATTTTAGGTAATTATTAGGTACATTTTTTAATCAAAATTAAAATTTTATCAATTTTTATAATAAAGATTGACCTTAAAAATTAATATTTTAATATTAAAAGTTAACATATATTATCAAAATAAAATTTAATTAACAAATAATATTAATAATGCTACACTTAAATTTTATCTTATATTTTTCGTAAGACAACACATATTTTAAACATTTACTTGAAGAGATTAAAGATTATAATTTTTTTATATAATATTTAAAATAATATATACTAAAACATAAAATAAAAAATATATAAAATTATAAGAATTCACAAAATTTCGGTTAAAATATTTTTGTGCAAATACCGAAATTAAAAAATAGAACAACTAAAAATTATAAAAAAAATTAAAATCACAATTAACAATTTAAAAAAAAAATTTAAACAACTAAATATGGTCATGATTTTTCAAAAAAATTAAAGTTTAAAGTACCAAAAATTTTTACTTCAAAAATTGCTGACGAAAATATGCATTAATTTACTGTATTTTGAAAAATTTTCTTCAAATTTTCATATTTTGATATTTAAATTTTTTCATATAAAAAAAGGCAAAAATTACAACCCTTACCTAATTTAATCCTGTGGACCTGTGGTGGGCCTTAACAAGTTAGTCTCACACGCTCCAAAGCATCGCGTGGCGTTTTGCTGAGAGAGTGATGCACTGCTATCACTGTTTCATGCGTAGAGGGGCTCCCCCTTGTCTCTCATGCCCTCTAACCCTTCACCCGTTACACTACACACTCCATTTTTATTCTTATTTTTTGTATAATGTTTTTAGATTACTACTCCATAGTACCTTGTTTTCTTCTCTCTCTATCTCTCTCTAGCTTTTCTTTCTCTCTCCTATTCTGCATACCTTGTTTTGATTCGGATTTTCTGGTATTAAAGTGTGTCCAACTCCTTCCTCTCTATCTTTTTCAACATAGCATTATTCGATTTCGTGTTCCAATCTCTCTTCTCCTCTCTCATCTATCTCTACCTTAGCTTCTCTCATTCATCTAAACCTTTTTCTTCTTCTGAGTTTCTCAAGTTTTTTCGCATTTCTCTTCCTTTGATCTGCATATACAATATCCCCCCTCCAAAACATATAATAAAAAATGAAGGTATGATTCCCACTTTCTAGTTTTGATTTTCCTTTCCTTTGCTTTCTCTTTTTCCTTTTCGAAAAGGAATAATTCATAATTCACTTCTTAACTTTGACTCAGAACCTTGCTTGGTTAATTCACTTTTGATTCTCTATGCACTTTATGCTTTTTTTTCTCTCTTTCTTTTTTTCACCGTCTTGTGTTAAGATCTGGGTTGTGCTATATTCTTCATTAGATTCATGGTTGTTGATTTGATTGAACATATGGGGTATGTGTTGTGGGTTGAATTGAGCATATGGGGTACACATAAAGTAGCAACCTTTTGGTTGGTACTTGATAGAGAACTTGTGTGGTTTCAAAGTGCGTTACTTTTATTTGGATATATGATTAATATTGTGTTATATATCCTATGAATATTCTTTGGCATAAAGTTATTACCTTGGGATTATTTGAATTCGGACCAAATGAATGATCATTCTTGGATCTTATTTTTGCTTGCAGAAGTTTGTACTCAAGTTAGATTTGCCAGATGACAAGGCCAAGCAGAAGGCGTTGAAAACAGTCTCAACACTTTCAGGTACCAAATCATTGTTCACCCATTTTTCTAAATTTATTTTGATATATAAATTGCTTGATTTGGGAATGCCCAAATCAGGGGAATGTCACAAAATTTTGAGATCTGGGTCTGGGAGAGTGATAGCTAACCTGATAGCTGACGCAACCCCCAAATCATTGTCACGTGACATTCTAGCAGCTTTCTGTATGGTTATTTTAACGAGTTCAGCTAATTTTGGTCCAAAAAAACTATATTTTAATCATATTATATAGTCTTTTTACTATATTTTTAAAAATACTTATTATGATATTCAAACTTGTTAAATGTGTACTGTCAATGATGTGATACTAGTATAAGAAACAAATTTATTTTGATTATTATATTAGATATAACCATATTGAATATTTGGAACATTTTTTTACAGAGTATCGAATGTCTTTTTTTTTTTTTAAGGATGAAGACATACCAAATGCGTTTTAATTAATTATGATTTTATCTTGTAGCTATTTTCTTCCCATTATTTCGAAATAAAAAAACAATTTCTTTTCTATAATTGACAACGATCCAATACATTGTTAGTTGGCATGTCATAAATTGTCCTGCGGTTATGTCAAAATATTTTGAATTGGTCTTTCGTGTTTTTAAAGGGATATGGTTGGTTGCTTCCTCTTTCATTGGTCCATATAATCAAGAGTAGAGAAATTTTATGGACTCTTATTGGGGTTACCTTAATTTTTGACAGTATATTATTTGCTAAATCAAAATAAATTTGGGGTAGATTCGTATAATCATTATTTGCAAATTTATTTAAAAAAACATATGAGTGGTGTGTTTAAAAGTAATCGAAAATTTCGATCAGCAGATCCAAATGCACTGCTTAAACCTTTATAACTGTGAGTTAAGTTCACTCAATATATAACATGACAGTTTTAATTTATATTGGTCAACTTTCAATTACTAACTTATTCAGCAATATCTCTTGATTTGAATGAAAAATTTAATTGTCAGTAACACTTCAACCGAAGATAGGTTCCTATCTAAATGTACCATATTTACATCTTTATGTGATAGTACTTGATTATTGTGCGAACTAAGAATAAGGGGTACTAACATATGTTACATTGAATGAACAATTATTGAAGAAATTAATTTAATTCTTGGACAAGGAATTTTTTGTTTGATTTGTTTGTTCTAATTGAATTGGGCTCCTCAAAATCTGAAGTTGTAGTTATTTGATCATATAGGATTGTTCATGTGAAATTGGTTTTTCTAAAGCAAAGAACTCCTAACAATGTACTTGTGGAACCGTGTAGGGATTGATGTCATCTCAATGGACATGAAGGAGAAGAAATTAACAGTGATAGGAACTGTGGATCCAGTTAATGTGGTGAGCAAATTGCGCAAGTATTGGCAGACAGATATAGTCTTAGTAGGTCCAGCAAAGGAGCCTGAGAAGAAAGAGGAGCCAAAGAAAGAAGAACCAAAGAAAGAGGAAGAGAAGAAAGATGAGGCAAAGAAGGAGGAAGGCCAAAAAGAAGAGGAGAAAAAGGAAGAGCCAAAGAAAGAAGAGGACAAGAAGGAGGAGAAGAAAGAAGAAGAGAAGAAGGAAGAGGAAAAGAAGAAAGAGCCTGCACCAGCCCCACCACCAGACCCAGTTTTAGAGTTGGTCAAGGCTTATAGGGCTTATAATCCTCACATGACCACATACTACTATGTTCAAAGCATGGAAGAGAATCCCAATGCTTGTGTCATTTGTTAAATACCAAGCGTTGGAAACATGAGGGAATGACACATATATATAAAACTTTCTCTACTAGTAATGGAATCATTTCTCTTTCATCAATCATCTATAGGAGGCCACAATCAAGAAGATAGAAAGTTTTTGTAAATATTTTGGTGATGCCTCTTTAGCTGTTTTGAGACACTAGCAATGTGTAGAGAGAGAAGGAATAAAATTTTGGGGGGATTTATTTTGAAATGAAAACAAAGTGTATTTCATACTATTTTTCCTCTAAATTGCATGCATGTATAAACAAATAGAATCAGTAATTAGTTTGTACGTACTTTGATGATGTCAAGAGAAATTATGTGAAAAAGATTGAAAAAAAAAAGAGAAAGAATAAAGGGCCAATTGCATATGCTTTTTATAATGGTCAAAATGATGGGAGAAGTCTCAATCTCTTATCACATTCACCGCCACTTTGATGTCATGAAGAAAATGTTTCTTTCTTTTTTCTATTCTTTAGAATTGTCATGTCCTTTGTCATGTGGGACATGGTGGCTGAAAAGCAAGGTACCCCATCACGTAGTTGAGATTTGAGGGTGGGACACAAATTTTTTTCACCCCTTTTCAGAACCCTGCCTATCCCTGTATATGTGTTACAAATACAACTAGAAAAGTGAATAACACATGGCCACTTACTTGATTCTTTGGTCCCATTGGTTCATATCTATATTGAATGATTGAATTTTCAAGGTCCCATGTTGTAAATGGTCGGTCTAAGTTATCATGATCCTCATCAATTTTTTTATATAGTAGGCTTCTGGTGCTATTGAGCCTCACCCTCTATCTTGTTGGGAAGCAGGTAGCCTATGGATTTTTCTGTTCTTAGAATCATTATTTGTTTGATTATAATTTGAAGGTGTGGTTCATGCCTATCTATCAGATCTATATGCTTATTTTTTAATACATTACTTAGTGGTGTACAACTAAAGTAATCTCTTTAATCTCTATTCCTTTTTGTTTTTTCTTCCTCCTTAAAGACAGAATAACCTAAGCTACCACATTAATTAACTTTTAGGTGGCATGTCTTCTTTGCTTTTGTATTCATCCATAATCCACATGTAGACAACACTTACTCTTTGTACTTCTTGTACATTGCAAACCATAGGCATGTGATTAAATACTTGTAAATAATTCTATGCAGATTCGGATTTTTGTATTTAGCTTTTGAACTTTGTCTACAGCTTACTATGTTATTGCTCCTAAAATATTCCGCCTACAACAGAGGACTATGGCACTTGTTAGTATCACTTTAGTGATTTAGAACTTATTTTTCACTTTCCATGGCTTTTAAGAATGATAATTATCAAATAAATCAAAGCAAGGGGAATATATACACAGAAAGAACAAAGAATAAAAATGACAAATTTTATATTTTCACAACTACTCTATCTTACATTCATTTCTCATTTTTTTTTTCATATTATCTTCTTTCAAACTTATTTATAAGAAACAAATAACTAATTCATCAAGATTTATAAAAAACAATTATGTATCATAAATTTATACTGTATTTTAAATTTATCTATATTAAAAACATTTAAATTAATAATTTATATATTAAATAAATAAACATAAATATAAATAATGAATTGAGTATTTTATCAGAACAAATTTTACAATAATTTTTTAACAATTAATATAGTTAAAAATGTCTTTATTTGTTATAATTTAAATAAACATTCTTTCTTTTTATTTAGAATTCTCTCATATGATTTTTCTTACCGAAAAGCCTTTTTGAATTTCAACGCCATTGCATGCATTATGCAGAATTCTAATCATCAATGACAAGATTTATAGAAACCACACGTCATTGCTGATATGCGTGAAATGACAAGAAGATTTTGGCCGGTGCGTTCATCATTGATTAATCTTCGTCAGCGTTGTCATTCCAAGAATGTAAACTAAGTAAGGGAAAAAAAAAAAGGAATCAATATAGATTCAGAGAATTAAATAAAAGTTTATGTAATGTATCTAAACATAAGAACAATTTTTATTGTTTTTCATTCAAATCATGTGCGTGCCATCCTTAATCTAACGATTACAGCTTAATACAAATAAATGTTAAAAAAAGGAAATTACATATCTTTTACATACTTTTCCTTCAATTGAAAATTAAGTATTCAACAGTGATTAGTCATAATAAAAATGATTATGGTTGTAGATGAATTTTATCTGTAAACTGTAATACTAAGAGTTGGAATTTTATAATTATAATTTTGAGGAGGACTTTATTTAACAACTGTCATGTGCTCGAATATTAGTTTCACAACTTTACCTATAAGAATTTTCTTTATAAAAATAAAAGTTAAGTTCTTACTTAATTATATTTTTAAAATATATACAAGTATTAAATAAACTATCTCAACCTAATCCTTGCGGGATAGGAGCCAGAAAGTTCATAAAATAAAAAATTCTGCAAAATGAAAAGTTTACAGATATAAGGGAACAAACTTGCAAGCTAATTCAATTTTCTTTTAAGAAAGTTAATGTTAAATGGTAAAATTAGGATTAATTAAAAGGTTGATGTGATGATATAAGTTCACATTGTATTTATATATGTGAGATGTTAATATATTTAGTGAGAGGGTATACGTTTAAATTCTATAATGTGTCAATTTTTTTTACTAGCTAGTGATAACCATGAATCACTATTAAGAATTAGTCATAGATCCTTTAGTCTTGAAGAAACTTCGTAACTTTTTATTTTTTATGATAAAATAAAATAAAATGCTAGAATTAGGCTTAGAATTAAACATACGATTAGGTGTCTTTGGACTTTTGAAATTAGTATGCTTTGATTAAACATAAAATTAAGGTTATATATCAACGCACCAATTTTTTTACATCAATTAATAAAGGTAAAGAATATGAGTGATTTACAATAGATCAAGCATATCCCAGATACCGTACCCTATGCAATTATTATTAACCAGTAACATAATTTCTTTTTAATTCTTATTTTTTATGATCAATGATCTATGGATAACTTGAACCTAACCCCATATATCTTAGGGTTGAATAACTTAGAACAATTCATTTTCTTATTAATTAAAGGGATTATGGGTAGGAGGATATTTTTTTTTGGAGGATTAAACATAGCGCTAGAAATGGTTGTCCCATGCACTTAAGCCCATGTTGATGGCTCTAAAAATATACAAATACTTTCCTAATTTAAGAGTTAACGTGATAAATGACCTTTTATGTGACAAATTAATCCAATATTTACATGTTTCTTATTATAATTAGCATTGGGCATTGATTAAGAGATTAAAAAATGATAAAATTTTGTTAGAAATCACAACAACATATATTGGAAATTATATAGATGAAACCATTGTTAATTTTTTTTTAGTAAAAAACTTATTTTAAATTTCTTAATTAGTATCTTAGGGGGCATTGATGAGTATTTTTTATTAATATATGCTAAAGTAAACATTTCATTTTTCAAAAAATAAATTTGAATTTAAATTTCAAATTATGAAAAAACATTTTATGAATTTTTAATTTTAAAAGTTTAGTTACCTGAATTTTAAATATTTTGATAGTTCACCATTTTTCTTTCCAAATCTTGGCTATAACAGATTTTTTGTTTGATACGGAGGCCCAAGCCCAATTATCTAACTAAAAAAATGTTATTATAATAATATGTTTAACAAGGCTAAGTGGGACTAGACAAATAAATAAATAAATAAACTAAGGGAAACATGATAAATTTCCGCATTTTTCTGTAGCGTGTATCTGTGAATATAATTTAATTAAGTAGTTATTTAATAATTTTTCTCAAATAATAATTTATTTAAGAATTTAACAGTAAAATATATTAAAATAAAATAGAAATAAATTACTTTGATTTTATTTTTTTGTAAAATTTGTTCAAATAAATAATAAAACAAAAATTATAAGAAAATATTAACTACTTATATATTAGTTTGAATAAACTTTTCCACTCTTACATTATGAAAAATTTTAACGACTGAAATTTAATAATAAGTATAAAATTTGTTATTAGTTATTGATTGTTTATCACTAATCTTTATTTCATCATTATATTATTTATATGAGTAGTGATCCTGGAGTCGTAAGAGATAATGGAATCAGCTACTAAATTATATGATTTATACTCTAAAATTTGGAACCAAAGGCTTTTTTAAGTCTGATCTATTTGATGTTTTTCTTTAATCTATCAAATTAAAATTTTCTTAATCAATTTAAGCATAAAATATAATTTTTAAAATATAAAACATTAAAGGTCTCAATAAGTAGACGTTTTATCTATCAACCGACATGGGCTAAGTAACTTATCTTATCACCTTTAAGTGATGTTAAACTTTAAGTTTGATTTTTTAAAATCTGTCTAATATTATATCTAATAAGAATTTATATATATTAATTTTTATTAAAATTATAAAATTTAATGTATCTTAGTAAATTCTAAAAATTTTAATAATTTTTTATCATATATAATGTTGCGCATTTCAAAACGTCATTATAAATTATCATCATAACTTCAATAATAATAATTTTAAAAATGTGTGTAATATGATTTAAGTGGAGTAAGTTACAAATTTGATTCCTCACTCGTTTCTTTGGAGTAATATAAATCTAAGCCCTCTTAAATAATTTTTGAGTCAAGCAACTTTTCCCATTTTAAAATAGAACATAATCTCTTTCTCATAAATTTTGATTAAAACAATATGACACATATAATTTATTATTAATATAAAATATTAAAGATAAATTTTGATTTAATCTTATTAGGTCCTTGTTAATGTTAAATTCTTCAAATGTTATCAAAATGATATTTTTTAAGTTATAAACTGAAAAATACATTTTTAATATTCAAAGAAATTAAGATCTTAAACAATTAAAAGGCTAAATTAATGTATAGTATAAATATATTTTTATCTCACTTTTAAGTATTATATTAATGTATATATTTTTTTCTATTTAATAATATAATAACAACTTTTATATTAAAAATTACTCTTTTTTTAAAATTAAAGTAACTTTAAAAAATATATAAAATAAGTTAAAAAGAATGAAATAAAAAATTAAAATTATATGAATAAATTAATTGATGAAGTAATAAATTTTAAGAAATAAAAAAAATGAAAATTACACAAATGTCATATGACACTTCTAATAAAAGAAGTTTAGTGTGTGTATATATTTGGTTCATAGGTAAATACTGAATTTATTATTTTATTTTAAAAACTTGAAATTCTAATAAAAGAATTTTAGTGTGTGTATCTAAATAACATTTTTAATGACATTTGAAAATAACGTCACTGATGATTATGGGAATGGCACTTTGAGGTAGTTACCATAAACAAAAACTACTCAATTCATAGCATATTTGATTCAGTATACTTTTAGAGAAATTATTATTTATTTTCAAATATTAAAAATCTAAAGAAATAAATATACATTTTTAAAATTAAACATATAGAAAAATATGAAAACACTCTCTGATTCCTTGTGGCATGCCTTGATGACAAATTAAGATAACTTTCTTCTTTCTAAAACTTCTGTTTCAAGAAAACTTAAGTAACTACGGAAGATCATACAAGAAAAATGAAGAGAATGATCAAGACAAGGACTTTTGGGTGCATTCTAATATTAAGAATGCATACACTTATACTCAGTAGTCATAGGTAGATATAATTTTTTTCCTTTTTATTTAAAATGCATGTAAACTAAAAGGCTGAAATTTAAAGTATATTAAAAAAACACATGTAAACATGAATATAATATAAATTTATAAGTATTCAAATGTAAATTTAAACAAACGTTTAAAAGATCTAGACAATTTTTGTCATTCTATGTGGTCCAAGTTTCTTGGTGAGAAAAAATATATCTAAAAATGAAAATGTATAAATTTATCATCTTGGGTGTCCACAAAACATACCCAAGGACCCACCATCATAAGCATGAGAGCATAGTGCTCAAAGAATCGATGGTTGTCATTTTATATTCTTCATTCGTATAAGCATATGAATTCTACAAGGTTACTAAGGAATCTAGCTAAGTCCTATATAAAGTTAATAATGATCCATCTGGAATATTTTAGACGACAACTATCACCAAAACAAATTTTGGATTGGGTAGAGCGAATCTAAATCTTGATATCTAAGTAATTAAAGATCCTTATACTGGATAGAGTATCCCTGCTTGTTTTATTTACATATATATGGAATTGCTTTTGATTACACAATCTGAGTTCGAGTAAGAGGTGATTGTTTCCTTATTGATATAAATAACTATTATCATTATTTGGTAAACTCATAATGCTTGGTTGAGGATGAATGTGATCCTTATAAATAAACTGGCAATTTCAACTTCTATAAGAATTCCCTACACACAACAGCAATACATGTCAGATCAATCATTGTTAAAAATTTTTATAATGCACTAAAAAATATAGCTCATTAACATAATTTTAATTGTTTGGTGTTAAAAGAAATGTGAAAAAATAATTTTTTTCTTAAACTGATAATTATGCCTTTACTAAAAATAACAAGTCGTAGATAAAGGGAAAAAATATCTTTAGAAAAGTATAAAGTATTAATTTTTATTGCATTAAAAATTGTACATCTCCCGTTCTCCATATTTTCATCTATTCACCTATGAAAATCTTCATTAATTTTGCTTATTTTTTATAATTTATTTCTTATCAAACGGGAAAAGAAAAATAGATGGATCCCTTCCTTCTTCTCTAGTGGTTTCTTTCTCTGTTTTATTAATATTATTATTATTATTGAACCAAAGAAAGAGTAGCATATGCCTGGATCGTGAAATGGGATTGATTGGGATTCCCCTCATAGATTTCAAGAGAAATGAATGGAAATAAAACATGAGGTCTTTTAAATGGACTGGAAAATTTTGAACCAGGTCCATCGAAATGTTGGGTCCACTTGAGACTTTTAAATGGCTGTAAGAATGCCACGTCATTTACTATATACTCTTCTTACTATTTCCCTCTTGCTTTTTTCAATCAAATTTAAAGTTTTATACCGAATCATTAAAATAATTAATATTTTAAATTTTATCGAAAAATACCCTTTGATTTTTATTATATTAATGAATAGTTTTTATATATATTATCTTCAATCAAACACAAATTAATTATTATGAATAAAATTATAAAAAAGAATATAAATAAATAATTGAATATAATTGCTAAATTATCAAAGAAAAAGAAAACGGAGGGAGCAATTAGTATCCATTATTTAGAAACATAAGTTTTAACATTTTATTACAAATGCATGCATGTTAACTCAACTTGATTAAAAGATTGATTGAAATAAAACATTACTTAAAATGTATAAATTATTTTGTCATCAACTACTTCATGAGCTTAGTTACCCATACCGAAGGGATCTGCAATCATATATAAGAGGATAGATCTAGTGCATATCATATCAGTAATTAATCTTGTAGCACATTAATTCTAGTCGATTACTAATGCACCTAGGTAACTCCAAATCAATATCCTTTTGGAATATCAAATACGACTCATCTATGAACGTTTTGGATTTGTTGAGCGAATCTAAATCTCTACATCTAAGACTAAGCTAGCATTTGAAGATCCTTATGGGAGAGTATTCCACGTTGGAATTACAACCAAAACTCCACCACCACACAAGTTTATGTGATTGTTTTCTTATTGATATAAATAAATATTACCTTTCATTGGTAAACTCTACATTGCTTGTTACAAAGCGGAACATGATCCTTAAAAAATTCAAGAGATGATTACTGAAATTAAAATTCAGTGGCACTTTCAAGTTACATAAAAGGAGACTCATCACTGTCAAAAGTACATAGTTTACCCATTTATATAAATGATGCCAATTTTATTTGTTTCATATATGATCATGTTGTGTGTGATCACTGTCAAGGCTTATAAGGTAATTCTAATAATATGCAATTTTCCTATTGTTGATATTATTGTTAAGGCATAGCAAAAGAACAGGAATGTCCCAGACGGCAAGAAAAGCTCCCAAGCAAGTCAATTCCCTGAGGGTCAGAATAATTGGATTTAGTTTGCCACTGTGAACCAATTATGGGTCATCAAACACCAAAGTTCGGTTTAGTTGCCGTGAAAAGAGTAAGGACAAATTGAATTTGGACATGCAAACTCAATGGAAATACTAAAATGTGTCCATTTTGTGGGGTCACTGTGTCCCCCAAAGGGTGGAAAATGACCCCAATTGAAAGTTACAATACCCTTCATTTCAATTGCACGCCCGACCAAATAAAAAAAGGCACCTATCCAATTGTAACCCCAACCTTAAAATAGGAAAACCATCTTCACTAGGGAAATTTCTTCAACACTTCATGCAACCACGTATAGTCCAGACTCTAGATAATGAAAACAAAATTGCGACAAGCATGCATTACAAGATACATGATGTAAAGGTTTTTCAAGACAAAGTTCTTGTTAGATCATTCCAAATTGTTATTCCAGCTAAATTATCAGCTCATCATAAATCCCTTTGTAATAAAATATGTAATCATTAGTGAGTCTAATGATAATTTGGTAATTATACTCTAATGAATACTTATTTGAGTGGGAACGTTATTGAGTTGGATAAAGAGATGCCTTGAATTAATGAGAAAGTTATAGGTTCACATTATATTGTGTAGTGCTCTCAAGCTGTGACACATAATAAAGTCATTGTGACAAGTATCATGACCACACTTGGCAAGCAAGCAGCATATCCAGCTTTATACAAAATTTTTATAGAACTATTTTATAAACGAGAGAGAGAGAGAGAGAGAGAGAGAGAGAAGTCGGCGATATGAAGAATGATATGATGAGAAAAGAAAGTGTTACATAAGTTATTGTATAATTTTATTTTTGAATATAACATCTCACATACTTATACCTCTCCACTCACTCACTCTCCATGCTATTTTCGCTGTGTGTGTATATATATTAACCATTCATTCTGTTTTTGCACATATACGGGGAACTAATTAATCAAGCCACGCATGCATAATGACATCACATATATATAACATTAGCGACTAATGATCTCTACTAATTTTCAATTCTACGAGAAATCATATTAGTTATTGTAACGCTAGTTTCGTCAAATAATAAACTATTGCCTTTCTTTCTTTCTTTTTTATCATAGGTGCATCTTTAATATTAAAAGGAAATAACGCTTATTGTTCATAAATTGTACATATATACCCAAGAAACGAGAAATGTATATTGTATGCATGCTTTTCTGCGTAAATATAAAGTATCCAATCTAATTTTACATAATGGAATAACTTTTTTAAAAATCATAATATTATTTATCCCTTTAATTGAACTAATCATTTAAGTTACCTAACTACGATAGAGTTATCTGTCCATATATAAAGGACAACAACAGTACAAACATAGATTGCATAACAAAATACACTTAAACCCCTGTAACCCCATTACAAAGTACTATGAAAATAGGTTAAAAAATAATCATAGATAGATTGATTGCAAACGCAAAGTATCCATGAGACGTTTTGTTATGAACACTTAATACGTATTATTTCTTATGGCTCTGGTCCAATTAAGTGGCTTTGACAAGGGGTGAATGAGGAATTGGTGAATGGGGTGACATCATGTGAGGTGACATAACATTCTCTTCAAATCTTCTACCGGAGAAGCTGAGTCTAAGGTTACTTTTCCAACGTTTGAGTTCCTTTGGTGTCCCTCTCTCTTTGCCAACAAAAGCTCGGATTCTTTGGAGTGCTAATTCCACAGTTTCGTCATCCATGTTAGCAAAGCAAACCCTAAACCAACCAGGTTCAGAACAATTGAAAGATGAGCCCGGTGACACATTGAGCTTCACCTCATTGATGATCATACGCCATAGCATCATTTCACCTTCAAATGTTTGTTCCTTCAACAAACTCCTCAAATCCATCCAACAGAAAAGTCCTGCATTGCTTGGCAAGCAAGTAATGTTAATCTTCTCAAGTCCCTTTGTGAAATGGTTATGCCTTTCAGCTAACCTTGTTGAAGTCTCATCCAGAAGCTTGTCCACAAACTTGTCATCAGAAAGCAATGCAGCAAGAAAAAATTGTGTTTGAGATGACACTAATCCAAAGCTTGACATTTTTCTTCCATTGTTCACCACATCATCATTGTATGAATAAACTATCCCAACTCTGAACCCTGGAAGTCCCAAGTCCTTAGACAAACTATAGACAATGTGAATGAGGTCACGGTTGCATTGCTCCATGTCTTGTATCACCTCAGACACACTCACAAAGCAAGGGCCTCTGAACACAGTGGCTGCATAGATTTCATCACACACTAAATGAATGTTCTTTTCATTGATGAAGCTCACAATGCTCTTTAGTGTTTCCCTATCCATTGTTGATCCCAAAGGGTTTGATGGGTTTGTTATGATCAACCCCTTAACATTGACGTTCTCCTCTTGTGCTTTGTTGTAAGCTTCTTCAAGAGCCTCTCTAGTTATATTGAAGTTGTTGGAGCTATCACATTGGACAGGAATTAGTTGCGCCCTAGTTCTCCAACACAAGTCACGGATAAATCTGCAATAGAACATGCGAAATATGTCAGTTAAATCTACCATGTCATTGTTGTACCACGTGATGAAACTATGTTGATAATTAAGTGATGTATATTAACTTTGCTACTTTTTAATTAAGTCATATGTATGAAATTCTCTTCTTTGACCGATCACTATGTGGTCCTTATGGTCAGATTGATTTAAAGTTGACTAGAGATTTTCCTACGTACTGGTAAAAAATTAACACATTTATTATTCCTGAAGACAAGAATTTGGTTCCAATTTCAAAAACGTTGTGTCAATTGAATGCAAATTATTCTAAGGACAAAAGGGCACAATAATATTCTGTGCGTGCTTTGAGAGCACATGCTAGCCATAAATACCATGAATTTTTTTAGCAAATTTTGAGTTGCTTTAATAAGACGTGCCGTGAAATTTCTATGAAAATTTTGAATTGCTTTATAAAGATGTCAGACCGTGCAAAATTTCCAAGCATATACAGCTGTGTGGGTACTTGGTATTGCTATGTTCCAATTTGATTAATATAACGTTTCCATACTCTAGTTAAGGTGGTCATAGTTTCAAAAGTCAAAGGCAAATGTCCACTCAACTATGATTTACCAAATGTCAAAAAATTGGATTCACACCGGGCGACACAAGCTTGTTGACTAATCACTCAGTAGCAGCCTAGCAGGTTAATAAGTATGGGCGTGCTTAAAAAGCATTTAATGTTCTTGGAATTTTCTTATTTATGAATTATTCATTTTCAGCAATGCTTGTCTAGTATTATTTGGAATATAAAAATCTTTCCTTTTCAAGGAAAATAGAATATAAATTTTTTCGTGATTATTAATAACTTTGATGATTAAAAAGCTTTTGGTTTATCATTATTAAAAGTAACAGTAAATTAATAAGAATACTGGTTTTAATTTTGTATGTTAAAAAATGTCGTGTTAATTAAACAGTATATTTTGTCTTTTACATTAAAAGTAGACATTGATAATGATTATTAAGTAATATTCGTGCAAGAGCTTAGTTATTCAAATCCAACTCTGAAAATTTTATTTTTTTATTCCTTAACAAGTGTTTTAGGACACTTACTAAAAAATATTGTTTTAACATCAAAGATTGACCTAACTCGTTGGGTCGAATAATTTATTTGAATTTTTTTTGTCTGAAAAATGTTGGGTATCATGCCACTAAAATAAATGTTAAGTCGGAAGGTTGACACCTCCCTAGTTAGTTGAGGAAAGGTTGACTTTTAATATACTCTTCTCAACTACAAACCAAAAACTTTCAATTCGTAATATGTTAAGTTAAAAAGAATGCAGAACATTTTATACGTTATTTCTTTTTGTATTACTTGGATTGATATATTGAACATTAGTTAATATTTACCTTCAATCTTGATTGTTCTTATTTCTGGTTGGTAAACTCGTATTTTATTTTGGTTTTTTTTATAACTCAACAAAAACTAAGAATATTACTAGATAAGTGGGAAAATGAGGTGTGACTCAATTCAATCATTAAAACTAAAATTTTTCTGAATAACATTTCTGAAAAGCACTTGAATGAAGCCAATGGCTTCCCCATTAATCAAAACAAAACAGTGACTACACTTCCTGGTAGCCTTTATTTTTGTCCACTTTTAACATTTTGATGTGTGTGTGAAACAGTATCATTCAATGAATGAAAACAAACATGATGAAAGTGAGGGTACATACGCTGGATAAAAAGGGCTAGGAACCAGAAAAGCATCTCCAGGATCAGCCAAACAGAACATGATTAGCTCGTTAGCCCCCGTGGCTCCTCCACTCATCAATACACGGTCTGGATCAAATCTGACCCTACCACCCCTCACTTTTGACATAAAACTTGCCACAGCCTACATAAAATTACAAAACCCATTTGTTAAAATCATCAATCCCAATTTCCTACAACATGTGCTACCTCAATCATATATCACGAAATAATAATTAAGTTCTTCCATTGCTTACATTTCTGAACTCTGGCAACCCATGATAATCCTGAAAGTTAGCAATATATTTGAACCAGTTCACTCCTTCAGGTGTGCAAATGGAGCAATTGGGATTATTCCTTATCCACTTTTGGATCAAATCAGGGCAGAGCTGGAAAGTTAAGAAGTTAAAAAAACACACCCATTTTAGTCAAATTATCAAACATATGCAACTACATATATATAGATAAAGTTAAATAGATATAAATATATGCCATTGTGGCATAAAAATTGTATATAGTTAATTAAAGTACAAGAATTACGACAATTATACATATATATACCTGATTTTCTGCGAGACCCATCTGGATAACACCCTGAGGATTTTCTGTGGGGTGAAATGGGTTGCTATCATATGCCTTCCACCCATCAAAATAAGGAGAATTCTCTCCATGCTTGTTATTGGTTGCAATCTCGGACAGAAGCTGGTGACTCTTGTTCTCTAAGCCCATGATTAGTTTCTTTTGTTTTCTTGTGAAGGTATACGAGGTTACTCTTGCTATAGTAGCAATGGATGTGGATTAATCGAATTGCGTTGCAGTTTGCAAAGGCGGTGTGGTGTAGGGAAAATGGGAGAATGCGAGGGAATTTATAGATGGCAGCTAGTGTGGATGTGGTTTGATTGTAGCTAAGGAGGAAAAGTCCACTTCAAACAATCAAACATCGTAAAAATTACGAAGACTGATTACAAAGAAAATAAATATGTAACGGAATATTAATGGGTGTTTTTTGTTGGTCAAATTAATGACTCAAATTCATTCATGGTGCTTGCGTGTGTTCTTATGATATCTTGGACTCGCCACATGTGGAAGAACTGTAAAGTGCATTCGAGAAAATATAAAAGGTTTTTCATTTATTGAACTAGTTAGCTTCGGCATACATTTCTAAGACGCTTTTTACTTTGCTGTTGAAATGAAAAATAAGCAGTAATGATCGAATTGATCTAGACAAGTACTCGTTATTATGGGTGAATTTGAATATACAGTAAAATTAAAGGTTTATTTTATTTAAAAAATTATATGATAATTTATGTTATAAATTTAATATGGATAACGTATATTTGATAATTGTTCTTCCAAGAAAACCATGTTAACGTGCAAAAATTGTGGGGGAATTTTTGTGCCGAGGGAAGTTTCCTCTCATGGTTCGTTCAAAGACTAGGTAGAAAAATTATCCCAGAATAAGATCGAAAAGAAGAAAAGTCTAAGTAAAAGAATATGTAGATACAGCTTGTGAGAAATTGATCTTGCTGACGAAAACAGTCAAAGCATGTCTTGTTCAGCATATTGTGGTTACTTAATTAATTATTCCCCAACGTGGAAGTATACCTTTTCTCCTGTATAAAAATTATAAAATTGAGACTTTGTATCACAAACGTTTAAACTAACTGTGAGCATACTGAAATATAATTTTTAAATCATATTTTTAATATTGTCCTAGTAACATATTTAAAGGTTAATTTAAGTACTTAATTATGATAATTACGTATAATATCAGTGGGGGACAAGCTACATATTTTCTACATGGCTTATTACTTTTACACTTTTTTTCCGCGTTTTTAATACAATCTTACACTTCCCTCTCTCCCTCTCACTCTTTTGTCTCTTAATTGTAGAAAAGAGTTATAAGAATAGAAATTTCTCATTGGGCATATATAAGATCAATATGTGTGCTAATTTATATTTGTAAATTTGATAGTTTCAAAGCACTAAAAATTAATATTTTTCTCACAAGTAAAAAACCGAAATTTTAGGATTCAATTTTTTTATTCTAACTACATGGAAAAAAGTTTTATCCTTTCTCTCTATCTCTCTCTATATATACATAAAATATAAAATAAACTCCCTAATTTGCTACATTATTTTATTGAATGATAAGATTAGAAAGAAAGGAGATGAGAATGAAAATTTGAGTCGGTATTTGGACTCTAGTCTGAAAAGGGTAAATTGGAGTAGCTTGCCCAAGACACAGCGCAGAAAGCATTACCACAGAGGGAGAGTCCTTAATTATGGGAAGCCAACATGCATTCCCATGGGGTTAAGGGTTGGTCCCCACCCGTGAATCCACATTTTCTAATTATTACTTAATTTGGTAGCTTACTTCTAAGCACTTCAAGTCCTTCTAGCCCCGTTTAGTAAGCATGAAGCATGATGAAATACTTCCAATTTTGCTGGGAAAACTTGACACTTTTTTGGACGTGTAACACACACTGAAGTGATACAGTTGCAACTCGTGCCTTATATTGTTCAATTCAGTCACAAAATGGAAAACCGTACTTGAATCAAACTTTGAAGAGGATACCAAGTGATATCCGCGTCAAGATTCTTACGCGCTTCATTATCCATCCTCTTCAATCTTCAAAATTGAGGGAATAACACGAGCTTTATTGTTTGCCTAACTTTCCTTCTAATACCCCACTTTCAATTCTACCCTTTCATTTTTTTTCTTCCTTTTGCATTTTCAATCCTTATAACTAATACGCATCTATGCATGGAACCAAATAAAGCAAATAGTGTATCCGAACTAATTAATATTTATATATAAGGCAGAGTATATCTTCGTATTTGTTCCTCAATTCATCAGTTAATCAACATCTTCTATATATTAAGGTGTGTTAAATAATAATGCTTCCATTTTGTCCAATGTGGGTGCAAATATTATCTTACAAAATCGCCTCATATCCATGTTTTCTGGCTTTTAATTTCTTGTGTGTTTGTCTGTCTATTTTATTTACTTTACTCTAGCTAGTTTCCTTTACTTAATTTATATCTGCTTGCTATTTATATTTCGATAAACATTTTCCTACATGCATGCCTTTGCTAAAGTTATTTGATTTTTTATTTCTATTTTTATTTATTTATTTAGAGGGAAGACAAAAATTGTTTTTATTTCTTTTATTGTTTTTTGTTTATTTAAAATATTTATGCTATTAAAGTAATTTAAAAGTAAAAAAGATCACTATTAAAAAATAAATTAAAAAATTAATAATTTTATTAAAATTAATTAATTTGTATAATTTTTTCTTTCTGAATATATAAATTATAGGAATAGAAGTAATAGTATCTGCAAGCTTTAAATAAATAGTTTATTTATGTCTGTAATATAGTGAGATAGGTATCATCGAAATAAAGTATATCAATTAGCATATATATTAGATATATAGAGAAAAAATATAGCTAATATAATCATTCTTCATCTGTTCGATGTAAAGAAAGAAGGAGGACAATATCAGAAGAACTTTTCTTTTCTAAACAAGTATTCACTTCCCCCACTTGGTAGTAGAAAAATATTATATCATTACCGACATTCATTTCTTTTAGGATAAGTTTAGACAAATTACATTCATATATATATATATATATCTGAAGATTTAATAAAATTATACTTAACTTTTTTTTTATCTTCTTTAATTTATATAACTACATAGAAATTTGAAAAAAAAAGTGTGCTAATGAAAAAATTACACAGTAATACATGTTATGTGAAAATTACAAAAAGGATTTGTAAAGTCAAACAACAAAGAAAAAAAAAATTAAAAACTTCATTAAATCTCAAAAACAATAAACGTAATTCTGTCTCTTTTATAAGTTAAAGAAATGCCAACATCTATCCTTATTTAATCACATTAATTGAATGAAATCAGCTACCCCATTTTTCATGTCCTCCTAAATCAAAAAATAATGTTAGCATAAAAATGACAAAAATGTCTCTAAAAGAGGGAATTATTTTTATTACGATAATAACCTTTCAATTAAAGGGACAAAAATGACAAATAAATAGAGCAATTCCAATCATACATTAATCAAGATTAATATTTTGGAAGAAAATAAAGAATAAATTATTCAAATCAGTAGCAGTGACGCATATTTTATCATCATTAAGTTTAAAATTATGATTACTTACAGACAAAATTAATTGGAGTTTCTAATTGACCGTGTAGTTTATATTTTGATATAATTAATTTTGAAAAATAATATAAAAAATTTAAATTTTATTAAAAATTATTTTAAAATGACTTTGAAATAACCAGTTTTATCAAAATGACAAAATAGATTTTTTTTAATGTATAACGTATGTTTTACAAAAAATAAAATAAAAAATCTATGTGTTACACTTATAATCAATTATAATATTCACCCAAAAAAACAAAACCACTATGTTTTCTATCTCAAAATCAATTTAGTGTATATAAAATTAATTGAGAAAACCAAAATCATAAACAATGCACATTACCCTCGAATATCATTTTTGTTGGTGCAGAAAGCGCTGATTCTGCGTTATCCAAACAAGGTATAATAGGTAAAAGATCGATGAAAGAGATAAAATGGTATAAGAAAGGGATGATTTCCCTTTTTTTTCCTTGCTTCTATGTAGAATCCTTTTTATTTTAGAAATTATCCCTTTATCTTTCTCCCTTTCTGCTTTCACTCAATTCTCTTTCTTCTAAGTTTTAATTTAGTGTTAAAAACGAAATTTTCGACATTAACAAATGATGCAATTGTTTGTAATACACCGATAAAGATTACTTGAGAGAGAGAGTTAAAAATATTCGGCATAATAATAATGCTGGTAGAATCTCATAATTTCAAGTCATGAAAAGGATTCTTTACTATCAATATTCAATTCTAATTAGACTAGATATTTGATTAATTATAGTGTTTCGTTATAAACATTTTCATAAGTCATGAATTATTTATAAATTTATGTTCTTTTACAATTAATGACTTCATTAGGGTTAATTAAACATGGTTTGAAAACCGTTTAAGAAGAATCAAAACGTTTTACATGCAATTGTTTTTCATTTCCTTGAATAAGATTAAAAATAATTAGTGTTTGAAGGATTTAACTAAGTATCAGAAACACATGTTAATCTATATTAATAAAGTGATTGGAAACACCTCGTGGCTGCAGATAAACGTGGTCTACCTGATTTTAGCTTCCCTCAGATATGTATGAAGACTTTTGAGGTTGGACGTGCGTGAATCTTACTCACCAATGTTTCTCTTTGTCACTTGACTTCCACTGTCCATGGATTCCTTTCATAATTGTGTTTCTCAATCACAAAAACACCACTCAATTCAGGAACTGGGACACACCCATGTGGGAAAGTAAGAAAAGAAAAATTTACATTATAATTGTTCATTTAACTAGTTACCACGTCATATATAAAACAAATGTTATATATATAATTAAATTATTCATATAAAATTTAATCATTAAAATTACAATGAGTGTGTAAAAAAATCAGATAATTTTAAAATGATAAAATTATGATGGTGTGCTTACAGCATTTCTTCAACCCCGTAAGCCTTTTAAAAACCATTGACTGGTGGGACTTCATGAGGAAAACATGAAACAAATATTAAACTCAGATTGAGCGTACACTTGGTGAAGACTAAGAGGTGACATGTGCTGCATTAAGAAGAGTACACAATTAATATTATTGTGTGCC